CAAAAAACAAAATAAAACAACAAAACGGACATGTAGAAAAGCCAAATAATTTGTGTAAGACGAGACATTAAACAAAATATAATCTGTAGCGTGAGTATCAATGCAGGTCTTGGTTGGTTCATTCACCTTTTAGACATTTCCTTTTGGAACTATCTTACTCAGCCAACCAAATTGGGTTTATGGTCCCAGATGTTTTGTTCTTTCAGTTCCGAGTATACAGTTTCGTAGCCTACAGATCTATATTTTTAGTACGTACTTCAAATCTGAGTTATAAATCAGGCGGTTTGTAATAGCTATTAGCTGAGAATAAGTTTTTTTTCCTGTGTTTAATCTTCCATGAAGATAGCGCGCGGGAGAGGGGAACAGTTTGTATACAAGCAATGAAGTACCACTCTTACAACTGTTATAAGTTTGGCATTGTATTCTTATGAATAACATGTTATTAGAGTGAAGATCTAAAGATATCAATTTAAGACAGGTCCTAACAACAAGAAATGGATACTAACTACGAACTATAAATAGGTCACAAGCCATCAATATGCTTGGTACATGACAAACCCAATAGAAAACGTGAAATTATCTCTGTATAAATCATACAACGGTCCTATAAACAATAGTCTCAAAATAGAACAAGTCAATGAGGTTTAAAAAACGAACACTTTTGTTTCTGTTACTGACCATTCAGTGTAGCCTACTGTAACCTTTTCCTTCGAGCCAAAGGAAGCCAACACAAGCGAAAAAAATCAATGTATTTTAGTTAAACCTACCTTCAATATACAGAACATGCTGATGTGGTATGTTTGTGTTCCTAGCTTTGATACATGATATAACTTACAAAAACGTGTTTTTTTCGAAACTCACTTAAATTCGAGGATGAAGAGAAAAATGTCTAAGCTGGCGAAGTCAGAAGGCTTATTAGGCCTAACAAAATGTCATGAAAATCACGTTTCATTGTAGATGTTTTTAATCACAGTAATCTTAATTAATTATGGGTTTTTTAATCTAGTGTATAAAAACATAGAATTTCAGTTGTTTTTTTTCTTGAATCTGTCACAAGTCACTGCTTACGGGAAGCTTTTCGTTCACTATAAGAATTAATCAGCAGCTCTGGATCTACCAAGTTTTTTGTTGTTATCCCCCCCCCCCCATGAAGTGCTGTTTATAAGTTGCCATTTAGATCTAGAAATTGACATGCACGTGTATTATCAAACGAAGTGCACTTAGTAAATTGTCGTGTAAAATAAATAAATAAATAAATAAATATATATATATATATATATATATATATATATA